GGTCTCGCTGAATGGAAGCACAACCTTCATATAACCCACACCAAAACAGTCTTTTATATACTACTTATATATTTATTTTGCCATTGAGTTTGATCCTCAGATAGATATAGTTTGGATGTTTCCACTTGCTTCATCTGTCATATCATTAGGCTTTGGGCAGCCTTGAAAACTCTCCTGAGGTCTGCACCTCTCCTAAAGTACTCCTCAAAGATATTGAGGGGAGACCTTGCAAATATGGAGCAGCTTCCCATTTTTTATCTGTTATTGTTTTGTTTTTACTTTAAAAATGCATGGTCTCCTGTTGAATTTCCAAACCAAATGACACAGGTTTCTGTGGAGTATTTAAGACGACAAGTGGAGATGACTTAAAGTATTGTAATAACGCAATGTACTATGTATCTGCTCAGAAGCTGCACATCTGAGAATAAGAAACATAGCTCAGGTCTCAGCTTTGCTAAACCACAACAGCAGCAGAAGCCAAAGCCAGGCTTCTAAATCCTTTGTTTGGCATCTATTCAAGTATCTTCATATCAAAGTGCTGAGTGTGCAACACCGACAGTGAGGTCAGGAGCAAATGAACTCCAAGCAAAGGTTGATCTCTGTATTTATTGCCTTTTACCGAGGTCCACAGAAGCACTCGTTTTCAACACATTTGAAAAGTTGAGCTTAAAAAGCATGTCATGTTTTAAACCCTGGCCTTTATGCGAGTGCAGCTGGTTGAACAGGGAGCTCACCTGCCCGCTTTGAACACATGAGTGGAGCAGCCAAGACAACCACCATCCTTAGCAAACAAACATCCACTGAGCACTGATAGACAAGAAATGTTATGTCATAAGCCAAGGTTAAAAGAAAACTAACTATTAACAAAGTGGCTTCATAAATTTTCAAAGTTATTTGGTTTTAATTAGTCTCCTTTTTTTTCAAATGGCTTTTCTAAAACACTAAATTCCATTTTGGCCAGATAAGCACAACAATTTATCTATTTTCCTCTTATCCAAGTTTTCCTTACCAGAATCTGGAAGTTTATTGATGAGCATGGTGTGCATTGCCATGATGTTTGGCCCTGTGAAACACTCAACATATCTGAGGACCTACAGGGAAGAAAACATTAGGAAAAAAATATCAGAAACACGAAAGACGAGGAAAGATTGCTGAGGAAGCAGTGGGACTTGGACGTTTGGCTGAGGACTAGGGTACAGGAGGAGGAGGTCGAGATGGAGGACAGGAGGCAGGATCTGGCCTGGCACACAAACGGGCATGGCGGTAGGAGGCCAGGATGGAAGATGGTGCAGCAAGCTGCTGGGTGGGGTTGGAAAGATGGGGTTGTACTTTCACAAAGCTATGGCTGCCTGCCACAACATGAATATTGGCTACAAAGCTGGACCTGCCCAGGAAGCAGACGCTTTACCTGGACAAAAGACATTCAGAAAACGTCGCTGATCTGTCCTACAAGCCTGGCATGGTTTGGGCTAGTCGCACTCCTGACTGGCTCCACACCACAGGAGCAGAGGAGCACTGCTTTAAGTCTTCTGCCCTGACCACCATTCATCCCCTGTTCGTGCAGAACACTCTTAAAAGATGGCCTGATGTTCCTTCCTCGCATATGTACTTATGGGAGCACAGACGGGTGCTCTAAGGGATAAAGGATATAGCTTCAGTGGAACCAAAGCAGCCTTCTTCATGTGGGCATTAAAACAGATACATTCATATGGGCTCTTCCACCACCACCCCCCTTTTTGTTGTTTTTTTAAAATTTTACCTCTGGCAGAGTGCAGTATCTGAACAACTCTTTGTCTTCCTGGAAGTCCTGCACTTTATTAACTACTTTTTCAGAGTGACCATACTGGGATCTCAGGGACTCGTCTTTCATAATCATAGCTCCCAGTGGATTCACCTCTCTCTTACAGATCCTCATGAACTCCTTCCTGCAAAGCAGAGGAAACATCTGTGTTGGGAGAGTCCAGCCTCCTCCAGCTCCCCAGAGCTCCCTCAGGACCCCCAGCACCTTAGGCAAGTGCCCCATACCTGAAGCGCTCAATGTCTTCATCAGAAACGAGCTTCTTAATGAGCAGATACCCATTGTCTTCGTAGAACTGCCTTTGCTCTGTGGTGAGGACATCGTTGTCCAGGGTATAGCTGAGACACAGAGGAGGAACACGTTAGCAGGGCTGGGCAGAACACTGAAGCACACAGGAATAGTCTCTGCAGTCGGATTATCCACTCAGACATTTTCAAAATGCATGGTTAAGCTTTTTATTAAACTACAGTTAAACAAAGGTGAATATACCCTTGCAAAATGAGAGGCTACACAATGTCTAGTGATCAACACATGGACTAGGGTGGAAAAAATAATTGAGTTCTGCAGATTTTTTTTTTTATCTCTATAAAGGAAGATACAGCTTACCGAAACCTCCCTGTCTGAGGAACAACACTAACTTGGGCTGAAGTAGGAACACTTGTCTGGGATGGAAATTAAGGAATATACATACACTCAAGCACAATAAAGTAGAAGAACATCTAAAACACGTGTGTCCTGAATCCTACAATGTGGTTCATGTTAAACAGAAGTGCTGTGCTGGACATTCAATTCACGTTCTTGTTTATTTTGCTTCTAAAAAAATCTTTCCCACCTTCAGAGTAGCACATCGGGCAGAGAAGTATAAAATAACAGCATAGTACAGCCTTGTCCACGCAAATAGAAAAGTCAGTACAAAACACCTGAGACTCCAGAGTAGTCCAGAGGCCTCAACTAATCTCTCAGAACATCAAGACACTCAATAAGATGCTCAGTGGAGATGTTTACTTGCCCAATTTCTGTCCCTATGCTCCAGAAAGCAGCCAGAGCTACCCAAAACCTGTGATGCCTCCCGGAGGTGCTTCTCCATCTCTCCCCTCCCAACATCGGTGTGCCAGATTCAGAGCCAGGACTCATGTGGGGTGAACCTGGGACCCCAAATTCCCATGCGGTGGTGCAAACCCTCACCTTCTCTCATTACTGCAGAGATTAGGTCCCTCACAAACTTGATAGGGGGAGCACAAAGAGAGAAGAGCTATGGGCTTGTCCTTCACCTCAATTAATTTCAACAGCTTTAAACAAGCACGGTTGTGTTCTCCTGTGCAGAGAGAGGAATTCTCATCCACAGAGCAGCCAAACCCCACCTGCTAATGAAGCCTCACAAGAGCTTCGTGCATGGTATTGATGAAGAAACAGAGTATTCACACTTTTCTCCTCCCCTCCCACACCCCATTTTGGAAACAATGCATACACGGGCACGTTAGCCAACTGAGCAGGCACTATAACATTTCTGGAGAGACCAAAGCACAGGCACAGCGAGGTTCAAGATCCCCAGAAGCTCTTCCAAAGCATCTCCCTGCAGAGTCTCAAGGGATGGTGCAAACTCCTGTGTACCAGTAAACTTGTGCAGTTCTCCTGGAAACCATCTCCCAGGCACCCGGTGCTCTGTAGCTCCTGGTCTGACAGCCACCGCTCTGCCGGCAGCAGCAGGTTTTGACCTGAAGAAGCCAAACACCCAAATCACTCAAGAGGTGCAGCTGCTTTCCGAATCTCCCGTTTGCCTGAATTCTGAGGAAACCTTCACTTCCACAGTTGGTGTGCTGATTTTTTTCCACTGTGTCATGTTACCAATGCATCACTCCCCTCTGGCTCCTATGCCAAGCTCCCAAGAAAAAACTGCCACATTTCACCTTCTGTTTCTTCCTGTCCTTCCTGAGGCCACACGGGAGGATTCTGCAAAGGCAGAGTTTTTCCACTGTTGTGTAGAAATTACTCATCTTTCAATAATGTAGTACAACCAACGTACACCGATCTCTAATATACCGATCCCTAAAAGCAACTACAGGAAGAAACTAGGTATGTACAAGATGGTATTAAACTCTATTCTACAGGTTTACTTTAAAATACACCAAGAGGATCAGGATGCTCTCTTCTCCAGGGAAGGTCAAAGCCCGGGGGGATCCAGCAGAAGGCAGCTGACCCCTGCTGCAGGGCTCACAGAGCAGAGAGGAGTGGGTACATACATCTGCACCCAGTAAGGCAGCGCAGAGACCCTGCGGGCTTTGGGTGGTTTTTGCATTTTATGTCTCTAGCAAGACACTTCTATTAAGACATTTCTCCCTCTGTAAAAGGAGAAGGAAGGAAAACTGACTGTCCTACCGAATTCACCAAGATTACAACAAAACCACCGCACTGAGGTAACATACCAAATAAATCTATTCTTACTAGATTCTGTCATATACTTTATCCACACACGTTTCTTGTTCCAGCCTAATTTAGCCTTATTTTTGTCCAAAGCTCCATGCATCAGGTCCATTGTAGCTGGATTTAAAAGCAAAACAGCTTGTGCAGTGCCTCTCCTTATTTTCTTACTCTCTCTTTACAATCAGGGAGATTTTCCTAGCATTTATTTACAGTTTTGTGTCCCTACTTGCATCTTTGTCTTATGGCAGTCTGAGTCAACTGCAATCTATCTGTCTTCATATTTTTTAATAAATCTGAAGACTCGTACATCCTGTTTGATCACATCATCTTCAACAATTTGTTATAATTCAGAGGTAACTTGTCAGCATTCAGCTCTCACCAAGAATCAGCACCATTTAAAAAAAAATAAGTTTAAATTAAGATTTATGGCAGCAGCTTTAAAAATACTAGCAGCAAGCAGTTTCCATTTAACTTTTAGAAACATGGGACAGACCAATGTAAAATCTTCTTTCTGCCCTGTTTTCCTTTCTCTGATCCATCATAAAGCTGGCAGCCTCTACCATTTCCACCTCATTTCCCACTCACAAACCAAACCTTGATGGTTTTCCTCCTGCAGGTCTACCAGTCAAGTCTGTACCTCTCAACAGACTCTGAAACTTGCCGTGCAATTTCTAAGCCTTGCAGAGTTTATCTCCCCCAAACCCACAAAGCTCTAGGAGGAAAATCCACTGGAGGTAACCCCCCTGCTCCATGCCAGGGGAGGTGTACCATGGGGGGCTGCGAGAGGCACATCCCAGCACCTGATGGGTTGCAGGGCTGAAGATCAGTGAGAAAGCACCAGGCAACAAGATGCTTTCAGGGTGGGAAGGGCGCTGGCCCCAAAACACCAGTCAGGGCTGCCAGGAGAAGCACTGCCCTGGTGCATCCCCACTTGCCGAGGGGCTGCACAGGGCACGGCCCCCCTGCACGTCACCACCCCGTAACCAGGGCACAGGGCTGGGACACTGCCTGTGTGTCCTTCCCGTGCAGGGTGTCTTTGGAGGAACCCCTCCCCAGTGCCTGTGCACACACAAGCACACAGGGTGCGGGGAGCGATGGGCAAAGCTCACTGGGTGGGGGAGCAGAGCCCTGGTCCCAACTGGGTCAACATCCCACTCCCCCAGCCCTCCCCATTTCATGTCAGAAAGGAT